GATATCTTCGTCAAGAATCATAAGGTACAACACTTAATGATAGTCACAGGGTACAAATAAGCAATCAGGAAAAAATATCAATATAAATTGTAAGGATACAGCACTGAACACCAAGACAACTAGACACAAGAAGTTTTTTCCTGAACGCCATCACTCTGCTAAACAAATAATTCCCTCACCACTGTCAAACTACTCACTAAGGCTGCATTACTATTACTATTAGTCTTCTCATCGTTCCTATCACCCACTTATGGGTCTGCAGTCCCACTTATGACTGCAGAACTGTAACTTCGTTGCTTGTATCCTTACAATTTATATTGATATTGTTTCCTGATTGCTTATTTGTACCCTGTGACTATCATTAAGTGTTGTACCTTATGATTCTTGACGAAGATATCTTGTCTTCTTATGTACACTGAGAGCATATGCAGTGCACCAAAGACAAATTCCTTGTGTGTCCAATCACACTTGGCCAATAAAGAATTCCATTCTATTCTGGTCCCATTGACTGACTCAGATTCGATCTTGGAACAGTTTATTCAGTTTATTCATTACATTATAGTTAAACCATACATGGCTTAGCACAAATATAATGCCAGACAATTGGTCCAGCAAGTTTCTAATTCATTCCCACAACAGCCTAATCAAATAGTCCACATACCAGTTCTTGCTTGCACAGTTTCAATCTTTTTTTATCCAAAGCTGTCCGATTCAAGAGTTTGGGCTTTTTTTCAGCATTTGTGATAAAGGCCCTATGGATGCACAAAGGAAGCTTTAGAGGCAATAAAAGAACATTTCTTTAATATATATATATATATCCCCTGGTAGCGCTTCTACCAGGATATACTTTGATTTAGCAAAGTAGAGAGGCAGAATATACTAAGAGCTTTAATTTATAATATTAAAATAGAATCATCATTTTTATTTATGAAAAATATGAGGCTTCAGAAACACAATTTCTATGCTAATATTCCAAAGGAAATTAAATTTATTGGGGGAATAGGTTGTTATTTTTCACCCTCCATCGCTGCACCCAATGGAAGTTTAAACAAATATGCCTAATTATGTTGATCTTGTGGATTTTGGCAATATCTGTTTGCAAGAATTGTTAATGAATACTTCCAATCAATGTTATGTTCTTCTGGAAGATGCAAACACTTGCTGGATTATCTAGTAATGAACTGCTGGTAAATTTATAAAGGAAAAAACAATTGAAAGTAGATCTTTGCATAAAATTGGAATCAAAGCCAGTAATAACTTTTATACTTATAGGATATAAGAAAAGCAAGCAATTCTGAATTAGTTGTTGAAAGTTACAATGGCGCTGAAAAATGGCGCTGAAAAATGGCGCTGTTTCTGTTGTTGTTTCTGCTGTTTACAATGGCGCTGTTTCTCACAGTTACGATCTCTGCAACATCCCCATGATCATGTGATCAAATTCATTTGCTTGGCAACTGCTTCATATTTATGACCGTTGCTGTTTCCCACGATCATAATCCTGCCGGAACCCAGCCCTGATGTGATCCCCTTTTGTGACCTACTGACAAACAACGTCAATGGAGAAGCCAGTTTCACTTAACAACCTGGTTACTAAGTGATTCTCTTAACAACTATGGCAAGGAAGATCGTAAAAATCGGGCAAAACTCACTTAACAAATGTATTACTTAACAACAGAAATTGTGAGCTTAATCGTGGCCGTAAGTTGAGGACTACCTGCAAACTAGCTCTCTCTACATGATTCAGAAAGTGTAACTTTTCCAAACATCACCAGTTTCTATCAACCATGTAGGACTATTCTGAGAGGTTTCTTCCCTGAGTATTCTTACCTACTTTGCTTGATAAAATCACTCAGAGTCGACTTTATTTTCTCTTCTGATGCAACTTCAGAAACTTTAATGAGATCTTTCACTTGCTCCAAACCTTCTTCCTGAAAGATAAAGAGGAGAGCAATATTATGAAGGGCATTAAAATAATTCCAAACAGCAATTGATGCTTTGAGGTAAAGGTAAAAGTTCCCCTTGCACCTATGTACTAGTCGTTCCCGACTCTAGGGGGCGGTACTCATCTCCATTTCAAAGCCAAAGAGCCAGCGCTGTCCGAAGACGTCTCCGTGGTCATGTGGCCAGCATGACTAAATGCTGAAGGTGCATGGAACTCTGGTACCTTCACACCAAAGATGGTTCCTATTTTTCTACTTGAATTTTTACATGTTTTAAAATTGCTAGGTTGGCAGAAGCTGGGACAAGTAACGGGAGCTCACTCCATTACGCTGCGCTAGGGATTTGAATCCCCGAACTGCCGACCTTTCTGATCGACAAGTTCAGCATCTTAGCCACTGAGCCACTGCGACCCATATTCTTTAGATATATATTATTGTTGGAATATTTTTTTATCCATTATGGTTTTTTATCTATACATATATGCCTTATACATCTATGTATGTATGTATGTATGTATGTATGTATNTGAATTTCATTTTATTAGATAGTGCCCAATGTTCAAGTTTGTCAAGATCCTTCTGTATCTTAAGCCTATCTTCTAGAGTGTTGGCTACTCCTGCCATCTTGGTGTCATCTGCAAATTTGATGAGTTCCCCATTTATCACCTCATCCAAATAATTGATGAAGATGTTGAAGAGAATTGAATCATTGGTGCTGCTAGAACCTGGTCAAATCACTCTTTGGGATTCCCAGATATGCCTGGATGTCCCATTTCTTAATTTTCTTCCTTCCTTCCTTCTCTTCCCTCCCCTCCCCCTTCCTTTCTTCTTTCCTCCCCTTCCCTTTCCTTCCATCCTTTCATTCATTCATCCATCCATCCATCCATCCATCCCACCAGGCAGTAACATGGGAAAGTTTTCTTTTCATCTTTTGACATCAAACTATTTGAGGGTAGGATTCGAGCCAGTTCTTTCCTTGCATTGAAAAGGGCAAAAATTTCTTTCGATTTGAGCTTAATTCTTCATCAAAACAGCCATGCTAAGTTCCTCGGCAATAATACAGGTTGTCCTCAACTTACAACAGTTCATTTAGTGACTGTTCAAAGTTACAATATCACTGAAAAAGCGACGTGACCATTTTTCACAATGCCCGCTACAGCATCCCCATGGTCACATGATTTACATTTGAATGCTTGACAACTGACTCACCTTTATGACGGTTGCAGTGTCTCGGGGGTAATGTGGTCGCCTTTTGTGACCTTCTGACAAGCAAAGACAATGAGGAAACCAGATTCCCTTAGCAACCATGTTATTTACTTAACAACTGCAGTGACTCCCTTAACAAAGGTGGCACGAAAATTCGTAAAAGGGGGCAAAACTCACAACAAATTTCTCACTTAGCAACATAAATTTTGGGCTCAATTGTAGTCATAAGTTGAGGACTACCTGTATACAATTGGCTTGGTTTTTATTTCCTGGTCTAGCCTATATCTGGGAGGGGAGATTTCACATCCAACCTTTAGCCAAATCTCCCCTGGTTTAGTTTATTCACATCAGTTAACATCATATCACTGCCTTTATGTTCATAACAGATTATGGTCCAGTACAAAGTCATTTGATACATTATTTTAAAGAAATTGAAGCAGCCATGACTGAAAACAGGTTCCCTCAAATGTTAAGTTAACCATCCAGTCTTTATTGTCTGACTGATGTCCATTTAAATGGACTGAAATGAATAAATAATATATATATATATATCTGAGCTTAGAAATTTCTTGGGCTTAAAAAAATACACTTCCCTACAAACACAAAGAAAACTGCAGGCAGTTCAGTTCTGTGTATTACACCGTCATTCTGACATACTGACTGATGACTTCATTCCAAGTCTGGTGTTTTATGTTTGTTCTCCGGGAACAATATTTTCGAGGCAGCCTTATTTTTCAGCTGCAACGTTTTCCACCTGTCTAACAGCTTCTCTTTCAGGTGCTTCCATTCCAAATACGCAAGTGTTTCTAGGCTGCTAATCCTTAACCTTCCTTGACTATTTAAAATGCATCAGGTACATCACAGCGCACAGAGACGAATCCCCAAATTTCCAGAAAGAGCAAATGCATAATAAGCAGGGAGCTGTGGGGTTATTTGTTAAGAGCAGGGGGTGTCAAAAACTCAATTTCATTGAGGGCCACATGAAGGTTGTGTTTGACCTCAGAGGGGCTGGGGTGGGCATGGCCAGAATGGGCGTGGCCAGCTCAATGTCACTTGTGTGATCAAAGGCCCCTTTTGCTAGTAGTTTGTTTTGCTAACACTCTGTCAGTGAAAACGGAGCCCATGAGGGCCACGCACAGCCCTCCGTTTTCGGCTGTGACAGCTTCCTGCAGCCCTCTGCCACCAAAAATGGAGCCCAGGAGGCAGTAATGGTATCCTATTATCTTCAAAACTGGTTCAGTAGCTCAATGGTGTGTCAACCCATTGGTTATTTGAAGAACCCCCGTTAAAGGAGGAATTTCCTGACAGTGAGAATAAANCTGCCATCTTGGTGTCATCTGCAAATTTGATGAGTTCCCCATTTATCACCTCATCCAAATAATTGATGAAGATGTTGAAGAGAATTGAATCATTGGTGCTGCTAGAACCTGGTCAAATCACTCTTTGGGATTCCCAGATATGCCTGGATGTCCCATTTCTTAATTTTCTTCCTTCCTTCCTTCTCTTCCCTCCCCTCCCCCTTCCTTTCTTCTTTCCTCCCCTTCCCTTTCCTTCCATCCTTTCATTCATTCATCCATCCATCCATCCATCCATCCCACCAGGCAGTAACATGGGAAAGTTTTCTTTTCATCTTTTGACATCAAACTATTTGAGGGTAGGATTCGAGCCAGTTCTTTCCTTGCATTGAAAAGGGCAAAAATTTCTTTCGATTTGAGCTTAATTCTTCATCAAAACAGCCATGCTAAGTTCCTCGGCAATAATACAGGTTGTCCTCAACTTACAACAGTTCATTTAGTGACTGTTCAAAGTTACAATATCACTGAAAAAGCGACGTGACCATTTTTCACAATGCCCGCTACAGCATCCCCATGGTCACATGATTTACATTTGAATGCTTGACAACTGACTCACCTTTATGACGGTTGCAGTGTCTCGGGGGTAATGTGGTCGCCTTTTGTGACCTTCTGACAAGCAAAGACAATGAGGAAACCAGATTCCCTTAGCAACCATGTTATTTACTTAACAACTGCAGTGACTCCCTTAACAAAGGTGGCACGAAAATTCGTAAAAGGGGGCAAAACTCACAACAAATTTCTCACTTAGCAACATAAATTTTGGGCTCAATTGTAGTCATAAGTTGAGGACTACCTGTATACAATTGGCTTGGTTTTTATTTCCTGGTCTAGCCTATATCTGGGAGGGGAGATTTCACATCCAACCTTTAGCCAAATCTCCCCTGGTTTAGTTTATTCACATCAGTTAACATCATATCACTGCCTTTATGTTCATAACAGATTATGGTCCAGTACAAAGTCATTTGATACATTATTTTAAAGAAATTGAAGCAGCCATGACTGAAAACAGGTTCCCTCAAATGTTAAGTTAACCATCCAGTCTTTATTGTCTGACTGATGTCCATTTAAATGGACTGAAATGAATAAATAATATATATATATATATCTGAGCTTAGAAATTTCTTGGGCTTAAAAAAATACACTTCCCTACAAACACAAAGAAAACTGCAGGCAGTTCAGTTCTGTGTATTACACCGTCATTCTGACATACTGACTGATGACTTCATTCCAAGTCTGGTGTTTTATGTTTGTTCTCCGGGAACAATATTTTCGAGGCAGCCTTATTTTTCAGCTGCAACGTTTTCCACCTGTCTAACAGCTTCTCTTTCAGGTGCTTCCATTCCAAATACGCAAGTGTTTCTAGGCTGCTAATCCTTAACCTTCCTTGACTATTTAAAATGCATCAGGTACATCACAGCGCACAGAGACGAATCCCCAAATTTCCAGAAAGAGCAAATGCATAATAAGCAGGGAGCTGTGGGGTTATTTGTTAAGAGCAGGGGGTGTCAAAAACTCAATTTCATTGAGGGCCACATGAAGGTTGTGTTTGACCTCAGAGGGGCTGGGGTGGGCATGGCCAGAATGGGCGTGGCCAGCTCAATGTCACTTGTGTGATCAAAGGCCCCTTTTGCTAGTAGTTTGTTTTGCTAACACTCTGTCAGTGAAAACGGAGCCCATGAGGGCCACGCACAGCCCTCCGTTTTCGGCTGTGACAGCTTCCTGCAGCCCTCTGCCACCAAAAATGGAGCCCAGGAGGCAGTAATGGTATCCTATTATCTTCAAAACTGGTTCAGTAGCTCAATGGTGTGTCAACCCATTGGTTATTTGAAGAACCCCCGTTAAAGGAGGAATTTCCTGACAGTGAGAATAAATAACCAGTGGAACAGCTTGCCTCGAGAAACCGTGGGCCCTCCATCACTGGAGGTTTTCAAGAGACTGGACAACCATTTGTCCTGGAATGGCATAGGACAGTGATGGCAAACCTTTTTTGGCTCGTGTGTGGGAACTTCCGGTTTACCCGTAGGGCTGGTTTTTTGCACTCCGGAGGCTTCAGAGGGCCTCCGTAGGGGGGCAGGGGAGGCTGTTTTTGCATGTGCGCTGGCCAGCTGACAGGGCAACGCCTCGCGTGCCCTGACAAATGGCTCCGTGTGCCACCTGTGGCACGCGTGTCTTAGGTTCGCCATCCCGGGCATAGGGGTTCCTGCTTGAGCAGGGGGTTGGACTAGAAGACCTCCAAGGTCCCTTCCAACACTGTTATTTTAAGTTCTAAAGAGAGCAAGAGATGGAGACCTAGCAGAACGAATCTACCTGTTTCCTTCTGTAATTAATGGCTTTTCAGGAGATGTGGTAGATATCAGAGGCATTGCAACATCTGGTGAATCTTCTCCTGTTCCTTCTTGCAACAAAGGGGCGCCTTCTTCTTCTCCTTCAGGGGTCTTCTTTTTCCCCCTGGCTCCAGATGACACTCCGTCAATCACATTTCCAAAGTTCCCTGCAAAAACCCAAACTGCTTGTCAGGATGGCAAAATGAGAAAGATAGAAATGAGACTAGGACTAAAGATAAAAGCCAGGAATTCATTTACAGTCCCAGACATCTGGTGCTGATGAGAGGGTAGCATAAAGATTTCTTAAAATTCTGCAGGATTTCACAGAACATCTCCCTCCGCCAGTGCTAATACTGTAACTCCCTCAGGTATCCAAATGATTAAGAAAAAGGTAACCAAGTTTTACAATTGGTTTTGGGTTCATCAGTGGACAACCAACGTCTGTCTAATTTCACAGGCAGTATAACAACATTGCATTCATTAATTGTTTGTTTGTTTAAATTTATTGGCGGCCAACTACAGTGGACTTTGTGTGGTGTACGAAACTATAAGTTAACGGTAAAGGTCCCCCCCCCCCGCACATATGTGCTAGTCATTCTTGACTCTAGGGGGCGGTGCTCATCTCCATTTCAAAAACAGAAAGACAGAAAGAAAGAGAGAGAGAGAGAGAGAGAGAGAAGAAGGAAATATGTAAATAAAGAGATCTCGTTGTTTTGCATGTCTATGTTTTCAAGTCGATGTTTTGGAGTCTTTCTATTGAAGCTAGAGTGGCAATTAAAGCAGAATCTAGTTAATCTGACGATAAATGCAAATGGCAAT